AATTGCTGAAAACATCCCCAATCTGGGGAAGGAAATAGTCTCTCAGGCCATGGAAGTGCACAGATCTCCCAGCACAAGGGACTCTATGAAGACAACATCAAGACACATAATAATTAAAATGGCAAAAAACAAGGACAAGGACAGAGTATTAAAAGCAGTCAGAGAGAGAAAAAAAGATCACATAAAGGAAAACACATCAGGCCATCATCAGACCTCTCAGCAGAAACCTTACAGGCCAGAAGGGAGTGTCATGATATATTTAATGCAATGAAACAGAAGGGCCTCAAACCAAGAACACTCTACCTGGCAAGATTATAATTTAAATTTGAAGCAGGGATTAGACAATTACCAGATATGCAAAAGTTGAGGGAATTTACCTCCCACAAACTGTCTGTACAGTGTTATTTTGGAGGGACTGCTATAGATTGAAGTCCTAAGGCTAAACAGCTGTCACTAGAGAAAATAAAAGCACAGTAAAGGAAGTATTTACAATTAATTACTAAGCAAATGAAAAATTATATCAACTCAACTACCCCAAAAGTTAGTCAAAGGATACACAAAGAGTACAAAATATGACACCTAATATATAATGAGTAGAGGAGGAAGGAAAAGAGGGAGAAAAATAAAAAGAACCTTAAGATTGTTTTTGAAATAATGCAATAAGAGAGTTAAGTTAGACTGTTGGATAGTAAAGAGGCTGCCCTTGAACTTTTGGTAACCATGTATCTAAAGTCTGCCATGGCAATAAGTACATATCTATTGATAATCACTCTAAATGTAAATGGACTGAATGCACCAATCAAAAGACACAGACTTACTGAATGGATAAAACAGCACGATCCATCTATATGCTGTCTACAAGAGACTCACTTCAAACCCAAAGACATACACAAACTAAAATGAAGGGATGGAAAAAGATATTTCATGCAACTAATAGGGAGAAAAAAGCAGGATTTGCAGTACTTGTATCAGACAAAATAGATTTCAAAACAAAGAAAGTCACAAGAGACAAAGAAGGACATTACATAATGATAAAGGGGTCAGCCCAACAAGAGGATATACCCTTTATAAATATCTATGCACCCAACAAAGAAGCTCCCAAATATGTGAAACAAATACTACAGAATTAAAGGGGGAAATAGAATGCAATGTACTAATTTTAGGAGACTTCAACATACCACTCACTCCAAAGAACTGATCAACCAGACAGAAAATAAGTAAGGAGACAGGTACTGAATATCACATAGAACAGATGGACCTAACAGACATCTACAGAACACTCTACCCAAAAGCAGCAGGATATACATTCTTCTCAAGGGCACATGGAACATTTTCAAGAATAGATCACATGCTAGGCCACAAAAACAGCCTCAGTAAATTCAAAAGCATTGAAATTGTACCAACCAGCATCTCAGACCACAAAGGTATTAACGTAGAAATAAATTATGCCAAGAAAGCAAAAAATCCCACAAACACATGGAGGTTTAACAACATGCTCCTAAATAATCAGGATCAATGACCAAATAAAAACAAAGATCAAGCAATATAAGGAGACAAATGAAAACAACTCCACACCCCAAAATCTGTGGGATGCAGCAAAGGAAGTTCTAAGAGGGAAATACATTATCTCAAGAAAGAACAATCCCAAATAAACAGTCTAAGCTTACAATTAATCAAACTAGAAAAAGAAGAACAAATGATGCCCAAAGTCAGTAGGAGGGACATAATAAAGATGAGAGCAGAAATAAATGAAAACAATAGAATAAATGAAACCAGGTGCTAGTTCTTCGAGAAAATAAACAAAACAGATAAACCCCAGCCAGACTTATCAAGAAAAAAAGAGAGTCTACACACAAAACAGAATCAGAAGTGTGAAAAGAAAAATCACTATTGACACCACTGAAATACAAAGAATTATTAGAGAATACTATGAAAAACTATATGCTAACAAATTGGGTAACCTAGAAGAAATATACAACTTTCTAGAAAAATTCAACCATCCAAGACTGACCCAGGGAGAAACAGAAAATCTGAACGGACCAATTACCATCAATGAACTTAAATGGGCAATCAAAAAACTATCTAAGAATAAAAACGCTGGACCAGATGGCTTCACTGCTGAATTTTATCAAACTGAATTTAGAGAAGACCTAATACCTATCCTTCCTAAAGTTTTCTAAAAAGGAGAAGAGGAGGGAATACTTCCAAACTCATTCTATAAGGCCAGCATCACTCTAATACCCAAACCAGGCAAAGACACCACAAAAAAAGAAAACCACAGAACAATAGATGCAAAAATACTCAACAAAATATTAGCAAACCGAATTAAAAAATACATCAAGAGGATCATGATCTAGTAGGATTCATCCCAGAGATGCAAGGATGGTACAACATTCAAAAGTCCATTGACTACATCAACAAAAAGGGCAAACACCACAGGATCATTTCAACAGATGCTGAAAAAGCATTTGACAAAATTCAACAACCATTCATGATAAAAACTCTCAACAAAATGGGTATAGAAAGCAAGTACCTCAACATAATAAAGGCCATTTATGTCAAACCCATAGCCAACATCATACTTAACAGCGTGAAGCTGAAAGCTTTTCCTCTAAGATCAGGAACAAGACAAGGATGCCCACTCTCCCTGCTTTTATTCAATATAGTACTGGAGGTCCTAACCATGGCAATCAGACAACACAAAGAAATAAAAGGCATCCAGATTGATAAGGAAGAAGAAGCTAAACTGTCACTGTTTGCAGGTGACATGATATTGTACATAAAAAACCCTAAAGAATCCACCACAAAGCTACTAGAACTAATAACTGAATTCAGCAAAGTTGTAGGATACAAAATTAATATACAAAGATCTGTTGCATTCCTATATATGAATGATGAACTAGCAGGAAGAGAAATCAGGAAAACAATTCCATTCACAATTGCATCAAAAAGAATAAAATACCTAGGAATAAACCTAGCCAAGGAGGTGAAAGACCTATACCCTGACTCATGAGAGAAATTAAAGACACCAATAAAAGGAAATACATTATGTGCTCATGGATAGGAAGAATTAATATTATCAAAATGGCCATCCTGACTAAAGCATTCTACAGATTCAGTGCAATCCCTACCAAAATACTGACAGCATTCTTCAACGAACTAGAACAAATAGTTCTAAAATTCATATGGAACCACAAAATACTCTGAATAGCAAAATCAATTCTGAGAAGAAATAATAATGCTGGAGGTATTATGCTCCCTGACTTCAAGCTCTACTGCAAAGCCACAGTAATCTAAACAATTGGGTACTGGCACAAGAAGAGATCCATAAATCAATGGAACATTAGAGAGAGCCCAGATGTAAGCCCAAACATATACGGCCAATTAATATACAATAAAGGAGCCAATTAACATACAATGGGGAAATGACAGCCTCTTTAAAAACTGGTGTTGGCAAACCTGGACAGCTACATGTAGGAGAAAGAGACTGGATTATTGTCTAACTATACACAAAGGTAAACTTGAAACAAATCAAAGACGTGCTTGTAAGTCATGAAACCATTAAACTCACAGAAGAAAACATAGGCAAAAATCTCTTGAATATAATGAGCAATTTTTCCCTGAACACTTCTCCTCGGGCAAGGGAAACAAAGGCAAAAATGAACAAATGGGACTATATCAAACTAAAAAGCTTCAAAGGACACCATCAGTAGAACGGAAAGGCATCCTACAGTATGGGAGAATATATTCATAAATAACATATCTGACAAGGGGTTAACATCCAAAATTTATATATATAACTCACATGCCTCAACCTGGTGGTCAGACCTGGTGCTATTTCCTTGGTCGGATTTCTAAAACAGGATTTCTCTGCCTTAACTGTTGACCTCTCTTTTTTGTACAGTAATAGAGTAAGCTGGTAACACTTTCATATGCAAAAAAACAAAAATAGAAAAACTCAAGATGTTTCAAAGACTCGTGTGGGAGAGGAGGATGTATCCACAGCTTTGCTATTATACAGTTAGGAATACAGTCACTGACAAATCTTGGCAAACTTCTCTATAGTACAGCTATTAAAGCTGAAAAGAAAAAATAAAGACAAAGGTATTTGATGTACTAAGTATATAGTAAGACTTTGTTACCCTAATAGATATTTTCAAGAAAACCTTAAAATTGTTTTTAGCTATTTGATACATTCATGAGGCATTTCACGGACCATTTAGCTGTTTTCAAGTGATCAGGAGATAATGGCATTTTCCCTGGTGCGAGTCGGAAAACAGTCAACAGTGCTTCCGTTTCAGCAGCGTTCTAACATGTTTTTGTTGGCAGCGGATGTTTTTGCTTGAAGCCACAGTAATTCAATGTGAGCTGAGGCTTTTTCTTTTTCTGATTAAATTCTTCGTATTCCCACTTACAATAGAAAGCTTAGCCAAGTATTCAAATAAGGTTTTGTATTTAAATTAGAACACTCTATATTAACCAAACAGGAATGTTACCATAGGTGTAATTCTTTCCTCTTTATTATCACTTGTTCTAGCTTATCTTTACTCATGCTAACTCTTTAAATTCCTCTCCTGAGAACAGCCCACGTGCCACCTCCCAGCAGGGTCCTGCCCCTCTGCTCTCCTTCACACTCCTCCACCCCCATTTCCTCAATTCATTTGGTATCGGAACTATAATTTATTCCTCCATTGCTTTAAGTAGGTATTTTTTCTTTGATTTTCTTTTTGGTCCAGTGCTATTTCTTTTTTCGCTGTCTTGTGCCCTGCCCTTATTAGGCGCAGAAGAATATAAAGACTAAATTCCAGCAACACGTGGAAGACTTCCTGGATGGCTCAGGCACTTCCTCGGAGAGCAATTTCTAGTGACTTCAGTTACTGATAACACATTTGTCTTGTAAGTTACTTTGACAAACTGATTTGTGAAATTAGAAAAAAACAGAAGAGATGAACAGGCAACCTTCTTAATATCAAATTAAATAGATAAAAATCAAGGATAAGTGAAATAAATAATATACAAACTTTTATTCAAAGATAATTCAAGAAAGACATGTTTTGGTCATTTTTAAAGTGAGACTAATTGAAGATCTCAGAAAAATTGTATCTGATCAACATACATGGCTACTCACAGAAAGTTCTCTTCTGTTAATAGCTAAATGTATACACACAGAAAAAATTCTTAAGACCATGCAAATTCAGTTGAATTCCATACATTCATGATATTCATCAAAAACCTGCAGTAATGTTCATGCCAAAGTGTTACTTTAAGAAATTAAAAATACACTTCAAAACATGACTAAGATTAAACTGAAGAAAATAATAAATAAGCATAATTTATATTTTATTTTAAAAAGTTTGGCATCACACATCTTCACGTGTGTTACACCATGTTCATTCCTTGGAAGTGGCATTTTAAAGTGTTAAGCATTGTTAAATATCAAAATATACAACTCTGTTTTACAATGTAGTACTGGCATAATTCAAAGTACTGTGCCAATTATAAATAGTATAATCAAATTTCAAACATCTTTCAAACATAGTTAAAGGAAAGCATATAGACACACATTTATATGCACACAATTTATTATACTCATGTAATCAAATATTTTATAAAAGCAAAGTTTTATCCCTCAACTAGTTTGCATACTTACATGGATTTTAATACCTATTCAAAGATTTTCAGTTTCTGTGTATACAGATTTCAGGAGAAGGAATAAAGTTCAATTTAAATTTTACAAGAACACGTTACTTTATCCACCTTCACAAAACAATCCATAGCCATCCAAGGTGGATAAGAACTAGTCTTCATGAGAGCAACTGATGTCTAAGACAGCAGGGCAGGGCCAGTGCTGTGGGCAGGTGTCAGTAAAATTCAGTCAGCTGCTACTCACTGCAGAAAAAGCCTATACGGAGCTTCTACCAGAAATAATCTTCAGCATCGAGGCCTGTAAAGGCAGACGGTTGTGTCTTCTGCTGAAACTTAAAGTGCAGTCACAAGTGGAGCAGTGCTAGATTTCCAGTCACTTCAGAAATACCTATTTAAGTCTTTTTCCATGTATAAATATGCTGAAAATGTCCTTCATGCTCATAATGGTTTATCAATAACTGTGACTCCTGAGCAAAGAAATGAAGAAATAAAACAGACGTTAGGCAGCATTCTATATCTGAGAAGATAATGAATTCTTTATTACTAAAACAGGGACTGAACAAATCATGTCTCAAAATCTCTTAAACTTTAGTACTTCTATTTTAACCTAAACGACAGTGAAATCTGTTTAATTCTGGATCAAAAAACAACATCAGACTATTTATCATCAGAACTGGTCTTCTGCTCTCTGTAGTTACAATTAAGGGAAAATGATTTTACTCAGGAAATACCAAAATCCACCTAATACCCAAAGGGACACAAGGAAACTTTTGGGGGTTATGAATATTATCATTATCTTGATTGTGGTGATGGTTTCATGGGTATATACGTATGTTAAAATTAGTAGAATTGCACTTTTTAAAATGTATGCTGTTTATTTTATGTCAGTTATATGAAGCTGCTATTTGGGATCCACTTTACCTAGTTCTTATAATAAATGTTGTTTTAGATGATACATAAACAACAGTGATGGTTAATTAGTAAAACTTCTTTCAATATTTGAAAGTTACTGAAACATTCTAATATTTAAAGAAACATAAATATCATAAGCATAATTAATGTGCAACATATAGTTTAAGAGACTCTTCATTGTATTTAAAAATATTTTCTCTTGCTAAGAGAATGGGTCAAAAAATCGTGTAATTCAGCCAGGACTCAGCTAAGTAAAAGAAATTACCCCACAGCCTCACTATAATACTATCACATGGGGTCCTGCCAGGGGAGGTATAGGGCCATATTTCTTAGATATCTGAGTAATTAAAGCCTTGGCATATAATAAGTTCCACTCCCTGTATACAGAGGTTAATCATATTAAATTTTATTGTGTGGGTCTGCACTAGAAAGGTTGGGATTTTGAATACAGATCACTGTAAAACAAAAGAACACTACTAATGTAGTGTTTTATCAAGAATATATACATCCAATATCAATTATTTTAAGAGTAAGAAATAAAATACTTTGAGAAATTACTGTCATTTTAAAACAGAACATTCTTAATATAAAAATTATAATGATGTAATCTTCTGTATTCTAATAGAAGACTATAAGAAAATTAGACAATTATTACCTGCATAACTTCGCCCTGTGCTCATACAAGATGACACAACGGTCCATTTATCAGTCGTTGGGTTATAATATTCTACTGAAGCCAAGTTACAGGAACCATCATCCCCTCCAACTACATATAACAGGCCATTAACTGCACAAACTCCTTTAAAAAATTATGCAGAGAGAAAACAGTTATTTTAAAAATATGGATGAGAAAGAATGATTCAGAGACACTGTTTCCTTGAATGGCAGCAAAAAAGAAAAAAAAAAGATGGTGAACATGGAAAAAATTCCTTTTATATTTGAAAGTCTAAAACCACTTCTGAATTCCTATTCATGTCCCATTATACTTCAGAGCTCCTATTTATACAGAAGTGGCTTTATATATGTATTATTTCATTTAATCTTCACAATAACCTTACTTTACAAGGCCAGAAACTATTGTAATCCCCATTAAAAAAAAAGAAAAATTAAGAGTCAAAGTAGTTTAATAGCTCCCCCAATAGTCAGCTTATCAGGGAACTTTAAGGAAAAAATATATATTAGTAGAAGGTAAAAATGATTCTGAATTTTAATTATTATAATGAATGGTTAACTATTTTTATCTCCTTTAAAAGTAGAGAACAATATTATTTCATTATTAGAATAACTCATTTTTTTGCAAATTCAAAACATCTAGAAAAGTATGTTTAAAAAAAGTGATCACCTCTAGTCCTATGCTGGTTAGAATAGTGACCATGAAATTCCGGCCTCACTTTTGCTGACTCTTTCTTTTGCTAATAATCAGAGTCTCTTCTCTCCAACTTCAAAAGGGCTTACAGCACAAATGCTACTTTATTACTCCCACCAAAAAACAAATCTTGGACATTTCCCTAAGTTAATAATATAGATCTACATAAATTTTAATGGGTGCATAGTACCCTATGTATGATAATACCAAAATTTATTTGTCTTTTCTAATGGTTATAATTTTCAGTTTAGTCTATCAATGATGCTGCAATAAACAAGGAAGCCTCTTGCATACTTTTTTGCATACTACTTGTACAACTTTTTTCTTAATGTAAATTTTTACAAGAAAAATTGCTGAGTTAAAAAATAAACACCTCTTAAAACCTCTTTATTTCAATGTATTTTTTAAAAGCATACTTAATAGCTTTAAACAAGGTTCCGAGCTACTATGACCTGGTACTAGGATGGTCAAAACATCCAGAATGAAGCTGTCCACACATTGGTCTCTGTAGTTTTGTAGATAGTTTTGCTAGCATAAATTTTTTTAACCTAATAGAGCTGTGCACAGTAGCATCAGCATCCTCTGTGTCAATGGGCCCGGCCACCTCTATTCCACCTCAGCTGGGTCACTACTCCAGTCTGACAGGAAGCAAACTTTAAAGTAGTCCAAATACTTGAAAAGCTAGTAGGACAATGACAGCTGTACACATGCAAATTATCTTATTCTTCATTGCTGGAAGAAATGGGCTAATTTTGATTTGAAAACAATAAAACACAGATAGAGGAAAAAATATTATTTCAACCTGTAGGAAAATAATAATGGAAGTTCAAAATGCAAGTAAGTTTCCTAATCTTGGAAGGCATGTGCACACATTACTGTGGCTTTTCCAACTTACTACGCACTGGGTCAAGCCCTGACTCCACAGGGGGCCTCACCATGGCTCTGGACTCTACAGCTCAGGGCTTCAGTGCCTCACCAACTGACTGGAGGAGCGGCAAGGTCAGATAGAATTAAATATAAATCCACTCAGTCCCACATCCTGAGTCTCCCTTGGTTATCACATTAAAGAGAAATTGAGTACTTTGGGGGGGCTGAAGGTGCATCTTGCAGCACCATCCAGTGTGTGGAATAAGTTTGAGAATCATCAGGAACTTATTTTGGACTTTGGGAAATGGCATGAAGATAATGGCATTTTAAAGAAGACTGGCATCTCCTGAAAGGACTGTCTGGCTGTCCTGAAGCTGTTTTCCATTGCCATTTCCCTTCCATGGGTCTTCTTTTCAAGTAGTTAGTTTTCTAATCTTGAAGCCTTCAGCTTTCTTGAAATTATTTGTTTTAGCTTTTATTTTCTAGAAATCCTGGACTGTATTAAATTAGGGTTAGCTTCTTCAGGCTTCCCCTCCAGATTCAGATAAGCAACTAGCTTTTTAACCTGGTATATATCTTTACTTCAGCTAGACTGAATTCCCTGAGAACTGGGCTCTCCAGTACGTGATACATGGTAAGTCAAAAAAATATCTGGTTAAGAATGAATGAATTCAAGCATCAAATAAAGAGGGCTTGTCTTCTAATTTAGTCTCCGTATTCATCGCTGGAAGTAGCCACTAGTAGAAATTGTAAGTCAATGAAGTGTCAGCCTGCTATGTTCTAGACACTATGCTTGGCATTCACCATGTAGGATTACTACATAAGTTTCTGCCTTTAAAGAACTAGTCTATTAAGGAAACCAAATCTGTAAAAGAACAATGGAAATACAGTGATAATAGTAGAACTGAATATAAATCATCATAAATTTGATAATCAAACAAGAACAATACCTGCATTTCTTCTGCACATGTTCATATCTGCAACCTGTCTCCATGAATTGGTGTTGGGATCATATACTTCAACACTTTTTCGCACTAAAGGACCATCATGACCCCCTACAGCATACAGTAAGTTGTTTAACACACCAACACCTATAACACAGAAACAACCAAACAACCAAACTGTAAGAGGGATAAGACATTTATGAAGTATTAAGACTTTTTCAAATGACTAAGACTTTTGATATTATTATTTATAATAAAAGTAAGTCAATGTTAAACATACAACCTAAGAACTGGAAATGAATAGAATTGACAAATGAGAATCTCAGTAAGAGCTATTCTAAAAAACATGTCAAATAGAATAAAAATAGCATGTAGGTGAAACACAGGGAGGAGCTGTGTGATCCTTTAACAATCGTTTTGAAAACAAGTTTCATGATAAAAGCAAACTACTATTAAAGCAGAAATTTGTAAGAAGCAAAGAGACTTGATTATTACGCAAGTTCCCCAATAAGTACTAAAAACAAAAAAACATAAAGGAATACCAAGCAATATAATGAAAAGGGACAAAGGCTTTAAGATAGCACCTACAAGTTTTATAAACTGAAATTTTATGGGCTACCAGCTGCATAATTTAAGAGATAGTTAAATGTCATTAAAATCAGTATATAAAATATTTTCTGGTAATACAGACAAGCAACGAATCATTTCACTTGTTTGACTCTCTTCCATCATTTCCATGGTCCAAGTGCTAAGCAAGGCACTCATTCACCTGCTCCACTCCGCCTCGTGCTCATTTCTGCTGTGTAGGTCCACTCATTTGCTGCAGAGCTGTAGCACTCCACGGTGCTCAGACACTGCCGTGAAGCCCCATCATAACCCCCTACCGCATAGAGCAGACCTGCACATGGGGTCACAAAGAAAGCCAAGTTCATAAACAGCTGTTGATTCTCAAGTCAGGAAATGATACATCAGCTTCCACGGGAGGGAAGTTTCCCTTCAAAGTGTTAGTGGGTTTTAAGACTATTAAGGTCTCTGCTAATGGTGATAAATAGTTTCCAAATTACATTATGAAGATCTGCAGGGTATATACTATGACATTAACTTAACATTTTCATCAATAAATGAGGCTGATAGAGAAAGTACACTCATTACATTTTTGAACAACACTGGCAGGTGAACAACATCTTGGAAAAGAAGAATTAAGTTATCAAAGTTATCTTAGTAAATTGGAAAAAAAAAGGTTAAACTAAGTTAGTGCCAGCATGCAATGAAGTATTATTTGGCAATAAAAAGAAATGAGGTACTAGTACTTGGTAGGAATGGATTAGCCTTAAAGTCATTACATTAAATCAAAGAGGCCAGTCACAAAGAACCACGTCATGCAGGCATTAATATGAAGTGCCTGGAAACTGGGAATTTACGTAGAAATGTAAAGTAGAGGAGTAGTTACTGAGGGCTGGGAGGATGGGGGGTGACAGCTAAGGCAGTACAATTGCTTTCTGGGATAATAAAAATGTTCTGAAATTAATTGTGGTGAGGCATACATACTTAAACAGGTGGGTGAACTGTATGGTACATGAATTATCTCAAACTATTAAAGAAAAATTCGTGCATAAAATTATACCCACAGTGGGCAAGAGGTGGGAACCCACAAACCTGGCCAAGCCCCCACTGCCCCCACCCCCAGAAAAAAACCAAACCCACAAAACTATAGCTTATCTTAAACTCTGTTGGGGAATGAAGTAGGATATAAATAATGTGACTACCCATCCCTTAAACATTAAACACCCCTTCTCCAGATACAAAATTTTATATATATTTCATCTGATTTGTTCTCCAAACCATTATTAAGTCAAGTTAACAGTTTTATATACATTACACAAACACTCCCAGATAAAGAAGAAAGTGGGGGAAGGGAGAGGGAGGAAGGGTGGAAGACGGGGAAGGAGGGAGGGATTGGGGGGTGCTTGGGATGGAAAGGGGGAGGGGGAGGGGGGTAGGGGGCTTCTGTAGGTCAGCTGTACAAACAAGCGGGTTTCGGGGAGGATGCTCAAGAGCTTCACAACCGCTGCTTTCCCTTTCCGAGAGGTCCCAAAGCGATCCCGGTTAGGGAGTGCTGGCTGTCGCTTGGGACCAATATGGGCCTGCAGCCACGGGCACCGGGGTGCCCCGTGCCCACCTCCAACCACGCCAACGCCCACGCTGCTCCTACGCGTGTTCATCGGGGCCACGTGGAACCACTCATTGGCCTTGATGTTGTAGGCCTCTACCGACGACAAACCTGCAATGAAGCATCACCGTCTTCATCTCGTCTGGGCAGACCTAAGAAAATGTTCTTTTACACCTCCTATTAGGGAACAACTCAGGAAGGCTGCACCAGGCTGATGTTAAGGGTATAAACTGTGCAGTGCAAATTGGGCTAAAACTAAGTGGAAATGGTGCAGTGCAAACCGGACTAAAACTAAGTAGAAACAGTGCAGTGCAAACCGGGCTAAAACTAAGGGGAAATGGTACGGTGCCAACAGGACTAAAACTAAGGAAAAATGGTCGGTGCAAACAGGATTAAAACTAAGGGGAAACAATGCAGCGCAGAGGCGAGATGCAGGATTTGCAAGGCTTGCCCCCTTGGGGGCTCCCATCCTTGGGGGCTCCCATCCCAGCCCCTGGGGTCTCTGGCCTTCACACCTGGGCCCACACCTGGTGGGTGACTGACACTGAGGTACACCCTCCACACTCCTCAGCACTGCTGTTCCTGCGGGGCTCTGGCTGCCCCCCCAGGCTGCTAGGACTCCCTGCTCCAGCGTTGCCCTGGGGAAGGGTTCACCTGTGCTCCCGTCGAAGCCCCCCACCGCGTACAGCAGCCCGTTGAGCACGGCAGCCCCCAGGGTGCTCCTCCGGTCGCGCATGTTAGCCACACTGGTCCACTGGTCCTTCACAGGGTCATAGGAGTCCACGGTGCGCACTCGCAGGGAGCCGTTGAAGCCGCCCACAGCAAACACGAGCCCGGCCATGTAGACCATCCCTGCCAAGGGCGAGCAGGTGAGGGCGCTGTTCCTCAGCCAGCCCGCATACCACCCCCTACCCATCCTCCTTGCTAAGATCACTGAAAATGCACAGTAGACTATGGAGTGATTTTGACGGTCCTCTTTTCAAATACTTATTTACAGACTTAGGTAATGAGCCAGTATTTTCCAACTGCTTGAACCTGTATGTGTCTCCCAGGGTTTTCGATTTGGGGCCTCCTGCTCTATATACTAAATTTGAATAACATGCTCCCCTTTTATCAGTGAGTTAAATCAAGTGCCAGTAAATTATAGCCTCCAGGCTAATTATTTTTGCAGAATCTGCATGAACTACAAATGGATTTACATTTTTAAATGGCTGGAAAACAATGAAAAGAAAATGAATATTTAGTGACACATTAAAAATGATTAAATTCAAATTTATCCACAAAGTTATATTGAACATAACCGCACCCATCATTTATTTACATAGTGACTATGGCCGTGTTGCACTAGAATGGCACTTGAGTAGTTGTGACAGAGTCCACATAATCCACAAAGCCCCAAATACTCTCTGGTCCCCTATGTTTGCTAGCCCTTACACTATCAATACTAAGGGACCCCTGGACAGGAAAACCAGATGCCTTTTCATTTCACTAACTGTGTTCCTGCTGCTGCCCTCATCTGGGAAGCCCCTCTCACCATCTGCTTCCCTCAAGTTCCACATCATCTGTGAGGCCTTCCGGAACCACTTTAGCTTGAAGGAATGGCCTGTACTGTAGCTCCTGAACCCCTCTAGCACAGTATCTATAAGTGCATTTGAGGTTAATAAATCTGATACAGTCTGCACTATCAGTGCTCTAAACTGCTCCAGCTTTTATTTTTCTTAAGTCCTGTAATGTTAAGAGCAGGCGCTGTGCCTCACTGTCCTCGGAATCCCAGTAGGAATAGCAATTAATGTTTCTGGGGTGGTGTGCACCACTACCCCCTATGCTCTTAGCCCTGGTGCTTTATCCCCACCCCCAAAATACATACATAGAGGTGCAGGCCTTCATACAGCATCAAGATACTTTACAATTCAATGAAGCTGCCTGTTGGCAGCTCCCTTTCAGGGGAGGGAGCCCCTGGCTCAATCAGAAATGTACACTCAAGCTGCTTTCTGGAAAATCTAGTGTTTGATAAGAGCTGTGGGCATGGACATTTTAAGGAGGCAGAGAAATATCAAGTGACTCATTTGTATTTCCTGAGTGTCCCCAGCAGCGGATGTGATACCTCTCCTGGGAGGGCTGGGGGCCTGTGAGCAGGGACAGCAGGCAGCATCCTTCAGCAAGGAAATGTCCTGTTTACAAAACCATAAGTAACAACACTGAGGAATGCTCACTGTGGGAATGTGGGTTCATTTCCTTTTCTCTACAAACAAAACAAAACAAAATAAAAGTCTATTACCTTAAAGATGGTAGAGTATGCCAGTTGCAGGGGGGCCATCAGATGAGAAATTGGGGATCAACAGAGGTGAGGCTTAGAACCTCAACCCCCCTTTTTTGAGAGAAATCTCCTGCATCCGTGGATGTTTTAATGCCCTTGTCTAGCTTGGATTAACACATAGTCTACAGGCACACACCTGATCATCTACATCTGCTCTCTTACAACACCAAACTATGTTTTCTGCCTTTATCTTGCATCTACCTACCACTTCAGCATTTTATTAAAAATAAAAATAATAATAATAATAAAGGGAGAAATGTGGGATCCACATATAAATCAAGTATAAAAATCAAACGAATATTCATATTTGACCTGATTGTTTAGTTCATAATGCGTGATCAAAACCGAAAGTTTCTGTGATGACTGCCCTTGTACCATTCACCATGTAAGAACTTATTCGTTATGCTTCAGAAGATTGGAGACTGACGAGAATTAGGCTTGAGATGGATTAATGATTGTGCATTGAGCATTGACTTCCCTATACAGAATTTTATTGTTGTTAACAACCATTTGATCAATAAATATGAGATACCCTCTCAAAAACAAAAGAATAAATAAATAAATAAAAATAAATAAAAAAGAAAAGAAACCAAAAAAAAAAAAAAGATGGTAGAGTATGCTTCCAAGTGTTAGGGGATTTCAGGTGACAGGGAAAAATAAAATATGTGAATGCATCTACAAGGTGAGGTTTCCCCCAAAATCTCTGGAGAGGCAGGGAGACCTGAAGGAACTGGTAATCCCCCTCATTTGTGGGGAACCCAAGCACCCAGAAGTCTCAGTAGTTTGGCAAGGATTTCTTTTAAAGAGGGTAGGGGTTGAGGTATAATGAAGGTTGGTTCACTCCTGAACTGGACCCAGTCCAGTGACATATAGTGCAATGAAAAGGAAATTGTACCAGAAACCACATATGAATTAAGAAACCAGTTATAAGTATCATGGAAGATTCTACTGCTGATAGTAACAATAAACTACCTAAGAATAAACTTGTCGAGAAACATAGAACCTTATAAAGAATATGTTAAAAGCTACTGAAGGAAGTCGTGAGTCCTATCACTAGTCCCATCATGTCTTAACATAGAGTATAAAGCACAGTAATTAAAATTGCTGTTCTGATGCATAAATAGGCAACACAAATCAATGAACAAAATTTAGAATAAAACCAAGTACATGTAGAAATTTAGTGTATGATAAAGGCATTTCAAATGAGTGGAAGTAGGTAGGTTAGTCAATAAAAGGTGTTGGGACAACTGGCTAGCCATTAAAAACAAAATCCACGTCTTACTTTTTGTATCAAAATAAGGTACAGATGTTTTTGATATGAATATTAAAAATAAAATTGTAAAAGTACTAGAAAAACTCATGTTTTTAAAACATAATTTTGTTATAGGGAGAAACCTGGCAGACACCACCCTAAATGACCAAGGTTAATGACGCCAGAAACAATTACAATAATAGCAACCTAATCATGAGAAAACACTAAACTCAAACTGAGGGACATTCTTCAAAATGATCACGGGCATGAAAGACAAGGAGACTATGGAACAAGCTGCAAATCAGAAGATACTAAACATGACAACTAAATGCAACGTGAGGCCCTGAAAGGAACAAGGACATTACTGAAGGACCTGCTCCAGCTGAAAGCAGTCTGCAATTACATCAGATGTCCAGATTAGGAGACGAGGGTTCCAGAGCATTCTGGACTATCTTTGCAACTCTTCTGTGAATGCAAAATTACTTCAACGTAACGGGTTTTTTAAAAATGTGCTGCATACACACACAATTCTGGAGTAAGGCTTTTCTAGACAAGAAACAAGCTCAAGTCCAAAGACAAATTCTGATGTACAGAACTTCATAAAAAGGTAACATTTTATATGGCACAAGTCAAGTCAAAAATTTTTTTAAATAATACAAATATTCTCACCACATATCATACATACACATAAAGGCTACTTTCCTTTACATCTGTCAAATCACTAAAACAATAAAAAATGGAAAATACCATGAACTGACAATTCAGAAAGATGCTTAACTTTCCTTATAATAAAAAAAGTAGAAAGATGAGACAGCACTTTTAACTTACCAGATTGGCAAAACACCAAACATTTAAAATGAAAAGATGTTTTTAGAAATGTAGGGAAACTTGCACCTTCATAAGCTATTGTCAAGAAGTAATAACAGGTGCATCCTCTTAGGAGACCCTTTGAATTAGTGATCCTTGTTTCAGAGTTTTATCCCAGTGAGTATATTAGCATATGAACATAATGATGTGTGTATAAGGAATTCATTTAACATTGTTTATAATGTAAGATTAAAAACAATTTTAATGTTCAAGAAAAAGCTAGTACAAGTTGTACTACATCCAGATCACCTCCCTGCAGATACCAGACAGTTCTTACAGAATGTGGTGACTCCGCTAGCACCCAGGATCTCCAGGACGCACTGTCAATACCATGGTGACAAGGGTGCCCTACACTCAGAACTCATTTTGCTATGGGACGGACCTGTGACCTATGGATCCAAGTTCGAGTCACAGGAAGACTTCTTAAGAGTTTGCAAATGCCTTTTCTGATTGCAGTTCTGGCTAAATGAGGTCTATTTCAATGAAATATTTGTAAAATGCATGCCTGGAAGAAGGCAGCTGTGGCTTACGGCTCCATCAGGAATCTCTCAGAACTCTCTCAGGGTCCTGACCTGAAGAACTCCTTCCTTGGCATTTTAGCAAAGGTTAACTAGGACACTGTCCTAGCACATGGCTAGCTGATCCACCTCACATTAGAGAACCAGAAAGATGTATAAAGATGAAGACAGACTGGCTAGCACCATCAATACCTTGTGAGTTGTATGCTACTCCTGATTCACTGTTTAACCACACAGCTTTTTAAATCAATTTTATACTATTTTCTATTTACTCTACTTCAATATTCTAATACTCTTCTACTTAATAAAGTAAGACCTGAGAGAGAAGTTCCCAGTGGCCCAGCAGGAGGGAAAGGACCACATGCACCAGGCTTACCTGCCCTACACCTCCTGGAAGGTAGCTCGGCGACCTGGTGCCACCGCTCTTCTTTGAAGTCGTAGCACTCCACACTTCGGATAGCCTTTGGTGCTTGGCCCCCCACCACCACCATCACCTGGAAGGGCAGAAATATAAGCACTTGAAGAAACTACTGCATATTCACACTGAAATGTCTCACAAAGACACTGATGTGGGGTGCGTTAGGATGAGGGTGGCAGGGTGCGTTGGGGGGAAACAACCACCTAATCAACATTTAATAAACAAAGGGGCACATGTTAGAACTACATTTCTATTCTCTAGCACATTTAGTCAAAATAAGGATTTCAGAAACTAAAATAAGTTTCTGATCCTTCAAGCAAAAGCAGTGTTTAAGCCAAAAAACAGCAGGCAGTCAGCACTGGCAAGGCTACAATATGTTGCTATGAACTAGATCCTGGCTTTGTGATGACCAGTGGTTACATCTCCACAATCCAGGAGAGGAGACAGAAGTGAAATTTATGTTAGTGGGAAAGTAAGGTGAAAAGAACAGTAAACTATTAAAAGAAAGACAGAAGAAGAAAAAAAGCCTATTGAAAAAGGAGTCACTGCATTGGCGTTCACAAGAGAGCAGACTGCTCAGTCTCGAGTAGAGGCCTCCCGTGATACCCACAAGTAAAACAACTGAATGGGCAGATAAGGAGACACCAGCAATAACGAATGAGTGCACAATAGCCAGTGTGCAGAGCAAATGAGGCCTAAAAATTTGTTCAATTCAACTGAGTCCGACAGCTTCTTGGCGAGTGCCTATCATCTGTACTTGTCCAGAGCTACCTAGGTGTTAGGCATAAGAAGACACAGTTTCTACCCCAAGAGCTTGTAGACTTCCCTGAGGAGACAAGACTCATGAAGTAATTCAAGAACAATATTCCATTATATATGACCAAAAAGCTGTATTATTAACACAGACATTAACTACTGCTGCTGATCAGAAAATGGAATGTGCCCTAATTTAGTGAAAGTTTCCTGGAGGGGGTGAACCCTGGAGAGAGGGAATTAAGCAAACGGGTTGCCTTCACTGAGTACAGATGGGCATTCTTCAGTAACAATTAAAACACAACTGTCAAATCAGAAGAACATAAAAGTTAATGTCACATTAAACTATAAAGAATGGCTAGGAGCTTGGGGGAAAGATGTTGTGCTAACAGGAGAAACTGATGTTCAAAAAAAAAAGTCAAAATAAGATGGAACGACTCATACATACAGCAAGGGGAGGTTTGCAACCCTGACTGAACAATGACCTACCTGGAGATAGATGAGCACATTAAAACATGACCCTTGAATCAGTAAGTCTCAAGTTTCCTGGAAGGACCTATTTTAGCATTTATTAACTGGAAAGTAGAAGGAATTTTAAAGGTCTTAAAAATAAGACTGAACATTTACCAATTAATGTGATTTTTTTTCCAGATCTGCTATTTTTCTGGTGTTGAATGCAAACAAATAAAAGGAAGAATGAACAGAGAAAATCTGCAATACCCTCCCCATCTATCACCAAAAAGAAAACAAAGGGATGGTGGCAAGGTTGTAAAGTTATGGAGGTAGAATAGACCACAAGCTTGGGTCTGAGTCTGGGGGTTTATATACGATCTATCTTTAAACATGTTAACCCATGTCTGGCAGTTGGACAACAGTTGCAAGAGGCTTGGTTCACATCGCTGATGAAGATTTTTTTAAGAAGTCTCTGAAGGGAACACTTTACAAAAACTCTGGTTTATTAGATTTCATGATTCTAAAGCTTCGAATTTCATGATCCCCATGCAGCAGCTCACTTCCGTACACCCAAGGGAGGGTGGAGGGAAACCATGGTACTGAGTCCACAGAATGGCAGAAGTATCTATCCTTTACTCACCAAGTAGAGGTAAAACGGAGTGAGATGTGGTACTCCAGAACTCAGAGGTAACAGGGACAAGGGAGGCTGTGTAATGGGAAGACAAGACAGCAGGGATAATGCAGGGGTCAAGAAACTGCTGGAGCCACTGAGCTGCCATGGAAGATGTGCCCCCAACTCTGACACCTAGTTTTCTGCAGAAGACTCCTGATTGCATTTGAAAATCACTGAACTAATTCTCCTAATGTAAAGGAAAAGAAAACTAGGAAGGCCTTTACAGAGAAGTTAAATGGGACAGACATATTTAAGGAAGGAAATGGATGGGGTTAAATTCAAGTGACCATCCTGAAATGTAGGTGAATGAACCTTTTTTGTTTGATTTTCTTCATCTGTTAAACATTAGTTAAAAACTGCTTCCCCCAAAATCCAGTTTTGTAATTTTCCAATTGGAAATCTCAACAGATATTCTGGGTAAAATACAGAAAAACATATACACAGAAATAGCAGGATAGCCTTTGTAAAAATACAAATTCCAAAGGAAAAAAAATAGTAAGCAAAACATACATGGCTTTTCATTATGTTGCTGAAATGCAAGAGTGCCTTACACAATCCCAGTACCATTTATTGAAGACAAAAAAATAATGTTTGAGATATAAAAGGAATAATTTATGAGATATAAAAAGAAAAATTAACATGAGTCCATAGAATCAGAGCCTAATATAAAAAGTACTAAGCCACTGTCATGGTTCAAATATTATCAAAACGTTACAATATACTTTCCTCAGCACCACCATATTTTGTCTGATTTGACTTACTGTTACGATAAAACACATCCTTTACTATGAAGTAAGCAAGGATGAGAAACTAATCTCTGCTTCGTTCTTACCTACCTAGTTAGAATTAATCTTGACTATAACCACTCTGAAATGAAATCCAGTGCTGTTGCAAGAGCATCCAATACAAGCACCTTTTCAAAAACATGTGCAGGTAAACAAACCTTGAGAAGGGATTATGAAAACGCCAAGTCAAAGCACCAGAGTAGCTCACTGCTGTCCGCTGTGTCTGCTGCCACCCCCACCACCCACCCCCCACCTCCAGCCCAGAGACAGCAGGATAACAAAGAGCCCTTAGGGATCAGCATACCCACAGTTAAGATAACAACCGAGAAATCCCAATGTTTAATACACTTGGAAGGGCCACTCCAAAACCATATAGCCAGGGAAGCCCAGAAACAATGTTCACTGAGTAGGTGAGCACAGTCTACAAGAGAAAGTGAGATGCTCAGTAGGATGCTACAAAGAACTCCTTAGAAGGTGTTCAAAGATGATGTTTACTCCAAATTAGAAAAGAATCTGTTTTCACTGTAAATGTCTCTGAAGCATAGCTAAGAGAGCAAAGCTAAAAATGTCAAGAGACAGGAACATACAGTCAAGAAGAGGTCTTTTGTAATATAAAATGAAATAATCAGAAAGTCCTAAAGATAAACTATTTAGAAGGAAGTTGCAAAGATTAACATTAAAGAAATGGTAATTTAAATGGGCTAAGACCAGGAACACTTATCAATTTTTTCTGGTTAAGAACAAAAACTGACACCAAATAATATGGACAAATATGAAGTGATGAAGACTTATAAAGATGGCTACTTATAAGAGCAGGTAAGGGTATTTGGAAAACGTAAACATTTATAAAATCAGCAGACCCAGATTGCATGCATACTAAGGTGTTATGGGAACTAACTAATGTACTTACTGAGCCACTTACAATTATTTTTGAAATATCTTGGAGAACTGAGGAGAGATCAGAAAATTTAAAAAAGGCAAATACCAATTTTCAAAACAGAGTAGGAAGTGAATGCCTTGTAAATATCTTTTAAGTGATAATAAGTCTCAATAAAAATTTAGAATATTTTGAGAAAAACATTTGAACTTCTAGGAGTCGACAAAATGATGAGTAACACAGAGGGAAGTTAAAAAAAATCATGCAAATCTGACTCTATTGGATTCTAAATCTCATCATATGGAATAGGCCAAATTACTTATTTTTTGCTTAGATAATAAACATAGTCTATTGCCAGAAATTTTCTACAAACGAACTGTATCAGTGAGTGGGTATTTCCAGGGAAGTGCCACAAGGGAGTGTGCTGAGGTCTGTTGTAAATTATTTACCAATGATCTAGTAAAAGGAGTAAACAGCACATTGGCAAAATATGCAGGTGGTTCTAAATTGAGAACTGTTGTTAACTGACACTGAACAAAACAGAAAAACAATACCAATACAGATGTGGAGCAATGAAAACGTCCACTCCAAAAATAAAACTTGAAAGAACACTAAAGGCATTAAAGCGAAAGACCATAAAAGACAGAATTTAATGGAAAGGACAGAGTAATAACTCAAGATAATATATGAAAACAATGGATAACTGAGTAATTCTTATTTCTTAATCCATTAGTTGCCCCAAACACGTAAGAGCTAAAAATAAATGCAGAAATAAAAGCACGGATCATTGTGAGTATACCACACATAAAATGGCACTTAAGGTGTTGGTCTTCTAGTGTTGTAAAGATGAAAACAGCAGAAGGGATTGCAAACAGACAGAAATGAGGGGTCTAATGTAAGGGAAATGAAATCAGTCAACATAGATGGCTTCAACTTAACAGGAAGAGGTAGAATATGAACTTTCACATACGAAAATAGAAACTGGAGGTCAGGGAGACCTATGGGCAATCTACATGGAAATGGCTAAACACGATGGGTAGGTGAGCCATCAAATAGTGTACAACAGAGATTAGGAAGGAAATGATTTATCATCCTTAGTCCTAATATGCAATTCTGTGAAATGACTTGGTTTTCAGTTATAGAAACGCATAGCTGTACAGGGAAATCTTTCTACCTGGTCTGATTTTCCTTTCTACTATAACTAGACCTAATAAAACTCAAAAGGGACAAAACCAGTTGCCTTCTGTTCCAGAAGAGTGACATCCCGTGGCTTACAAGGGTTAAGTGAGCCAAACAACCCCACCCTGCAGACAAAGTCCAGGAAGTTGAATAATATGCACAGCAATGAATTCCTAGGCACATGGAAACTCAAATGAGTAGAGTGGGCAGCCTCTCTATGGGCCTTTCAGATGGGGTGACAGCAAGCACGGGCTATAGGTCCTACTTTGGGAAGGCTCATGGGTGTCCTCAGACGGGTCCGGGAACTCTTCATCAACATACGTTGCTCCGTTGGCAGCAAATGGTACTTCATGGCTTCAATGAGGTAATCTTTGCAAGCACTGCTGTTCTTGACCAAAGCCTCCTCCTCAACCCTCTGTAAGGAGAAGTAAGATTAAGACCCACCCCATGGTGGGACAGCTATTTCATGATGAAACCAACAACAGAACAGAAGTAAAAGAGAAGAAAAGGCAGTAACTGTCCTCTCCAGTTCAGTCTAAAGTAAGAGAAAAGAGTTTATAAATACCAATAAGAGAAAAAAATGAAGCTGAACAATGCTCAAGTATCTGGTCTGCATAGAAAAATACTTAGGTAATAAAGAGAAGAGCTGCAAAGAAAATTTTGGATTTCAGTGCCAGCTACAGGATACTCTTTAGGTAATCACTTATTTCTTACTTTTAAACATTAATAGTAAAAAAAAAACAAGAAAAAAAATTTAGATCATGAGTCTTTCAGGTGGGGTAGGCAATCCTAATACAGACACTTTCTCGAACACAAGAAGTCAATGAAAATATCCAGAAAAAGGATTCATAATTTTTGTAACCCCGAGCCTATACCATAAATACGTCTTGTCCTTGCTGTCTCTGATCTCACATGCAGGACAGGTCTTTTCTGTTCATTTTCTTCACTGCAGAGCACCAATGATTACACACGTCACAGCAGATAATGAAATCTTTGAGAAATCCTAAAATGCTCAGATCTAATCTCTTAATAAATGTTTCCTTAGATGGTTTAATTATAAAAATACTGAATTGTCCTAGAAAAATGCTAACAATAAAAGAGTAAATTTAAAATTGTTCAAATCTGTGGACTACTACTGACCCATCTATTCTCTTTATTTCAAATAAGCTGGTTTTTCTCAGCTTGGGAATTAAGATAGAAACAAATGCACGGCATTGCGAAATTACAAAGCAGAATTAAACAGTACAAATGCAAATTTCATTTCTGCAGGGAAATCAGAAGAGGTTATTGAAATGAAAGTAAACAAGATGTGGAGCAGCGATGTGGAGCACAGGTGCACTATTCACAGGCACCTGAAGACCAGACACGGCCTCGTTAGACCCTGACACATGCTTACCCAAATCAAAAATAGGGGGAAGGAAATTTATGAGAACTGGGAATGGCCTCAGAGGGAGCAGTTGGTTGTAAAACGCAGCCGGTAAATTCACTGTCCTCTGTCCTGCACCCCAGAGGCCTGGACTGCGTTCTGCACATGCTTTTACCTGAACTAAATACTCCCGGGGAAGCAAAGGTAACCGTACATGTTCCATCAGCCGAGCCATAAATTCTTGCCTTACATCCTTGTCATGGTTCACCCAAGCTATTACTGCTTCAAACACCTTGCAGAAAATACAGAGAAAAGAAACATAAATAATGAGTTATATACCAAGGCATGTGAATAAAATATGGTAAGATTACATCTTACACACAACTCTTGCTAAAATATCCAAGTTCAATACATGGCTCAAATTTTTTCAAAATCCTGACGTGGGAGGTACTTAAAAAACCATTCACTCCATTTCTTTCATTCCTCTTTTCATTGGTATTCAGTAAGTACTTTATTTTTTTCTAGCTTTTTGATATATAAATGACAGATAACACTGTGTAAGTGTACAACATGCTATCTGATACATTTACATTGAAAATGATTACTACCTTAGCTTTAGCTGCCACATCTAATCACGTCACATGATTACCATTTCTTTTTTGTGGTGAGAACATTTAAAATCTACTCTTAACAGCTTTCAAGTTTATAATATAGTATTGTTAACTATAACCACCACGCTGTGCATTAGATTCCATAACTTATTCACCTTATAAGTGGGAATTTGTACCCCATTTCCCCATCCCCCAGTAACCACGACTCTACTCTGTTTCTATGAGTTCAGCTTCTTTAAATTCCACATATAAATGGTATCACACAATATTTGTGTTTCTCTGTCTAACTTATTTCACCCTGTCTTCAAGGTTCATCCATGTTGTCACAAAAGGCAGGATTTCCTACTTTCTCATGGTTGAGTAATATTACACTATATCTGATATCTGTGTACCACATATTTACCCATTCATCCATTGATGGACAGTACATTGTTTCCAAATCGTGGCTATTGTGAATAATGCTGCAGTGAACACGGGGGTGTGGTTATCTCTTCAAGATTTTCATTTTCCTTGGCTATATACCCAGAAGTGGACCATATGGTAGTCCTACTTTTAAGTAAGTACTAAAAAGTACTTTTAGTACTTCTATGTATTTAGTAAGCATTTTTCATTTAGTATTTTCTAAACATTTCACTAAGTATATTATCTAATCTTCTTGAACTTGAGTGGTAGCTGTGATAATTTGATGATATATGATCTAATTCACCATTGATAACCTTTCTATATTGAACCTGGTTCTACTTACTTAGATTTACATCTCAAGTCCCTCTAAAATAAAGTATGCAAAATAATAAAGCAAAATGATACTCTGCAATGAAAATCATGCTCTCATAAACAACTCATATTTGGCTTTTTCTTTAGGGTTACAAGTGTTGGACCATACAGTTCTAAACTGAGGGTGAGCAGAATAGATAAACTCTCCTCTGTCACTGCAGAATATATCCAAATGTAGTATTTCTAAGTTAACAAAAAACAATAATAAGGGCATTATGACTTATAGCATATAGCTATGAGAAAGCTAATAAGTATTTGATCACATAATTTCCTTCCAGACTGACAACTATATAAATCCAATAATCCTTAAGGGGTCACAGAAAATGTTTGATGATATGTAAATAGATTACTGGAGCAAAAAATAGGTTATTTTGAAGTAGAAATAGAATAAGATACTAAAATAATCTACATATTATAATTAACATGTCTCTTTAATTTGTTCAGTCAACAAGTATTTACCAAGTACCTCCAAGTGTTAGAGATAAAGAGGATCCTATCAATTCCCCTGCTAGTTCCCTGCTCTGTCTTCTCTTTGCCTCAGTCTCTACCATCATTCACAATGAACTCTACTGCTCACTGGTATGACGACCTCAAATCCTCCTATCAGACCCTCATGGCTCTTGTGGTCATTCTGCATGCCACCACTGTGACAGGTAGTCTCCAAAGATGTCCCCTAATAAACCAGGCCTCCCCATGTCCACACCTTAGATAGTTACCCCCGACAGAAGCTGGCCTGTGAAGCCAATGGCAGGTGGGGGGCGTGGTGCTGTATGACCTCACAGCTGGGTTCTAAGAAGACTCAGATTTCACTCTGATGTCCTGAAACGCTCATTTGGGGGAAGCCAGATGTCACGTAAGAAGCCTGACTATGTGATATCACCATACGATGAGGAACCACAGAGAGGAAGGAGAGAGGAGTGGGAAGAGCAGAGAGGGAGATGAAAGAGAGGATGACAGAGAGATGCAACCACCTCCAGCCCAGGAGCCAGACATGGAAGTGAAGGAGCCACCTGGGATACTGCAGGCACCCAAGAGGCCACGTGCAGGAGGATACGCTCCAATGGAGCCATGCCAGCTACACCCGGCCTTTCCAGCCAAGCTAGCTGAAGCCCCAGACACCTCAGAGCAAAGTATCCCTATATGCCCTGCAGGAATCCTGCCCACAGAATTGTGAGCATAACAAAATGGTTACTGCTTTATGTCACTACACTTTGGGGTGGCTTGTTATGCAGGAGCAGAAAACCAGAACAGCCTTCAGGACATTCCTGTAATGTGAGTATTACCAGTGCATTCTCCTATTAACTCCAAACCCTCCAGAGGCTCTTCATCACTAGGATAAAGGCAATTTTCTTTAATATGGCTGAGAAGATACTTTGTCATCTTCTCATCCTATCTCCCAACACTCTGCCAAGCATATTCTAAACTCTAGTCATACTGAGTCAACTGAATTCAATTATTCTTTAACAAGACCTTACATTTCACATTCTGTTCCCTCTACCTGAATGCCCTTCCGATCTCTACTTCCCTGGCAAACTCAGACTCACCTTTAAAAACTCAGATCACGAAAAAAAAGCTTGGATCATATGAGCAGAACTCCCATTCCCATCCCATGAATGACTAAATGCTCTTACGAGGCCCACTACAGCACTCTGCAGTCATCTGTTTACCCCACTGTTTGTCCTCCAAGTCCATTTTGTTAATTCTGCGTCTGGGACTCCACTGCAGCCTGCCTGGTGCACATGTCTACCAGCAGGAATATGTCTTCCTCTCCTCCTTATTTCTAGAGTGCTAAGGTTACACACATCTCACAACCACTCTTCACATACTTTTCCATATGGCATATTAATTAAAGTAAATGAGTCTTTTTACCACCAGGCAGAATAATTATCCCTGAGGAACAGAACTAAAGTTTATACAACTTTAAATGCAAAGCACACAAAGGGAAAACTCAAGCTTCATTTCCTTCAAATGCAGCGTGTTCACAAGCTTTGTATCTTGATCCCCAAGGGCTAAGAGAAGTTTCTCTCTCCACAAATGTGAATGGTGCAGGTAGCTGATAAAGGCAACACCGAAGCCAGGGAGAACAGCCCTACAGTCAGACAAAACAGCTGCACAGAACTCTGGAAGGGCACGTGGAGGCACTGCAGGAGTCAGTGTGCATGGCTGGGGACAATCTAAAGGCAGAGGATGATCAAGGATGTTCAGTCTGGAACTGGCTGCACTTTTCCACTTTGGGGAACTTCTTACAACTCTCATGATGGTGAAATTACTTTGGTTTGAGAAATACTGCATTTAGATCACAATTCTTATAGGCATTAGTTGTGGGAAAAAGCCCAGTTCCCAAAAGGCACTTGTTTCAGACAGTTTAATGTGTGCAAGCTCTTGCTATGGGGTCAAGTACAAAACTCTAATGCCTAACAATTCAGGAGTGAGATTTACTTTCAACCTCCTAAGGAGTGAGGAAACAGTCATTTACAGACAATCAAGTCAATTAGCTGAGTGTCTGAACTTCCAGATCAAAGATTACTGGCTATCATTACAAGGATCACAAAGTTACAAAAAAAAGCGAAATTAAGAAAGGGAAATACTACATCACTGTACACAGGGAAAGAAAAGTATACTTACCTTCTCTTCTGAGGAGATGGTGAGTTTGTCACTTGAGATTAAGCTGCACACTTGTTCAATGCCAAGATTGAGAAATTCTTCACTAAGAACAACATCTGCAAAATGTTGCTCTGTTTAGAGGTTAAAAAGAAGATCCATTAACACTAACATTCCATTATCATAGTTTCAAACTGCTTATAAAGAAGAGGGTTTTTTAAAATCTAAATTAAGAATGAGAACATCAACTGTACCTCCTCAAGGCAAGAACAAGACAAACTCGAACAAACTCACCAAGGGAGTCACAAAACCGAAGCCCAGGTGGGAAGGTGCCCACGCTGTGCTCCCAGTGGACGCGCGTCTGTTTTACAGGGCAGTTATTTAAGAGTTAAACATCTATCCCTTATATGGCAATAAGACTGTTGGTATTTAAATTTGTAAAACCTTTTGGCTACATAAATCAGATAAAGTGGTGTTCTACATTGACTCTTGATATGTTATATAAAACAACAGAGGGGCCCAGAACATAATGGAGTAAGAAGGGAAACCTGCTTTATTTGAAAACTAAACCACACAAAGAATCTTAAGTGCTAGCTAGTCTGAAAATATGACCATCATTTAGAAAAAAAGATTTGGTTTATTAGATATAGATAGCTCTGAAATCTATGTAAACAGTTTATTTGGGGATCAAATTACACTATTATATACTTTCCACCCCCTTCCAGAAACTAGTAAAATTAGTAGCTCTTAAAATACTAAAAACCTTTCTTTGATTTCATGAATATACCCACTTCTCCAAAACAAACAAATAACCTATTAATATAATAATGACTTAAAACTTGAAAAAAAAAAACCCTAATCATTTCAAAAGTATTCTTTCCTGCAAATCCAGCTCTGGTTTATGCACTATAAGCTGATGAGGATATGTGGTGATTTGGACTTCGGAGACACACACATACCAGATCTGCTGTGTGCCGGCTTGTAAAACTATGAATAAGTTATGTAGTTGCTCTAAGCCTTGGTTTTCTTATCAGTAAATTGCAGTTTAAAAAAAATGTCTTGTCTAATAACATTGCTGTGAGGATTAAAAAACTAATGGTTTATAATGCACCAGGAACTGTGTGGTAGACAGTAAGCATTCAATAATTTAGCTCTTATTGGTGATACTTAAACTCTAAAAAACTTGTCAGGAAATTTTTTTTCTAGGTCTGCACAATTAACCATATTCGAATTGTTTTTTAAAAAAGGCTTTTCTAAGGTGAAATAAAAGATTCAAGTACGTGTTTACATACCACAAAAAAGGACTAGTTGGCTTCCCTTTCAGAAACACTTGAGAAATAAAACCTGCATTTACATAAACCCCATGAATAAGGATTCACTTTAGGAAAGGTTCATCACAAGATGACTTTAAAAATAATAAGCAGCTTTAGGAGAATATAAAATGGTTGAAATTACAAAAATCAAACTGCCATACAAATTTTGGAAGCCCAAAAGTCTTGGTCAAGCAACGCATTGCATTGAAATAAATATGAACATGAAGATAAAAAAGAAAAATAATTTAAAAGACAAAAATCAATGCGACAGAACAGAGCGCCCAAAAATTGACCTACACACACAGTTGACAAAGGAAAAAAGGCAATTCAGTAGAGAAAGGATAGTCTTTTCAGCAAATTCACAGTCAGGAGGCCCCCTGGTCAGAGCAGCCTCCCCCTGCACCACCCTCTCACATCACTAAGGCCTCTTCCCAGCACTTCCTCTGGCCCAGGACCTCACGCCTGGCTACTGGGAAAAATTACAAGACATTCCAAAGGCAGCCAATGTAATCGGAAGAGACAGCAGCACAAGAACAAACATGACAGGGATGCTGGAATTACCAGGATGGGAGTTTTAAAACAACTATGATTAATGTGCTGAGGGCTGTAGATAAAGCAGACAACATCCGAGAGCAGACGGCAGAGCAAGTGGAGAGATGGAGATTCCAAGAAAGGCCCGAAAAGAAATGCTAGAGATCAAAGACCCTGAACAGAAACACAGCATGACATTGAAGGGCTCAGTAGTGGACAACAGGGCTGTGGAGTGACCTCTGTGCTTGAAGACAATGGTGAACACACATCATGTTTGTCAAAACCCAGAGGATGTAGAGCACAAGCAGTGAGGCCTAATATATATTATGGTCTTTAGATAATAATGTATTCAGTGTACTGATAGTGGCACATTAACTGTAACAAGTGCATCCCACTGAAGCAAGATATGAGTAACAGGCAAACAGTGGCGAGAGGGAACTTTCTGCACTTTCCAATTTCCTATAAACCTACCACTGCTCTAATAAACAGAGTTTATTAGTTAAAAAAGAATGCACCAAGAACAACATGAATGAGAAGTGTGTAACTGAATCTATAATTGATCAAAGGTCAAATTAGAAAAAAATCAAATTGGTATTCAAAAAAATAGTGACTAATGATTAAGATATTTAAATTTCTACTGTTAAGAGATATCACAACCTAGTATGATCAAACCTAGTATATCAAAACCTAGTATGAATTCTTTAATAGGATTACAGATTCTAAGAAACCACCATGATTAATTACAAGTAAAAGCAACTATGATTAATTTCTACATCTGAAATGTGATCCTATTTCCTGACCTCACTAGAAGGGTATATTAAGACAATATTTCAAAAGTATTTTATACATAAATAAGGGGAAAGTTTTTTTCAGGAGTTGGATTTGCTTTTTAAAGAATGAACATAAGAAAAGCATAAAGGGATTCTTTGTATTAAAATTCCCAAACATGGAGAAACAAATTCATTTTTGTGAAAATCTGACAAACAGCAAATAAATTTAAAGTTATTTATGACAGCAAGTTAGAAATTTAAATAGGAAATAGACAGTAGTTACTGAACAAAAGCTAATACAAACCTTTTTCCTATGCATAAAAATATTTTTACTTCCAAATATATGCCTATTATGATTTTGCACCAAGCTTCTGTAAATTTTAAATCTGAAAGTAAGAGATTGCTGGCCTCCTTACACTTTTCATGGAGGAAGAACTCTCCAGTGGTAAACAATGTAACAGAGAGAATATAACCTTTCTATCGCATGACTACACAAGTTTTCCTTTTTTTTATCCTTTTATTTGCTTCATCAATCAGAAAAATGGACTTGATAAAAAACAAACTTGGTAACTTTTAAAAAATATCAGCAATTATATAACATCGAGAAGTAAGGGCCTTAGGTAAGTAAGGAACAATAAACTCTAAGGAAAGTCAAGTTTGGATCTAAATTCATTGTATACTCTTTATAGTGTTAAAATAGTGAACGATTATATAACAGTACTGTTAAAACTGTAGCATAGCTGTTACTCAAATTAACCCCACCACTTCACTAAAAAAAAAAAAAAAATTGCTCCAAAGGAAAAGTGAAGAAATGTTCAAAGAGATTTTCATTGTAGACATACAGGTTTTTCAGCAATTCCAATTCTCACAAAGACTTTCTACCTGAACACCTCTCCTTAGTAAAGTCCTTCAATACTGGTATCTGATATTTACATGTCCACATTAAGCTTTCTTCAGAAGCGCGTGGGAACTACGTGGAGCATCACTTGGGTATGAGGGCATTGTTTGGCAATATCAAGAGTTAAGTTAGTCTGCCTATCTTCTACTTGTATTAACTGTGCGATTCTTCAAATGCTCTCCTGTATTAGCCGGCAGGCAACTGGATAGATTATTGCATGCTAACATGCTCTCCAGGGACCAGCTGCACCCAACAACTGGGTGAATCACTGCAAAGCACTCTGAGCATGTGTGTGGATAAAATGAAAGGTCCTGTGGCCAAGATTCTCACCTGGCCCTGGTTGGCTGGCTCACTACACATGTGTGGGTGATATGTTACTACTGACTCTATATAAAGAGCTCTGCCCAGTGCTCTGGGCGACACGGTGGCATGGGTGCAAGGTTGTAGGAAAGCAGAGCAGAGGCTGGAGTGGTGGCAGTGCCGAGGACAGAGCCAGAAGATGGCTGTGCGGGCAGAGGGGCCCAGAGGATGGCTGTGTAGGCTGAGAGGCCTAGAGGCTTGCTGCATGCAGACTCGCGCTGAGTGAACGGGATTTTAGTGATTGACCTGCCACCATGGAAATTTAGGTATAACCCTTCCACCCAAGACTGTTTTACCATCATTTCTTTGGTCACATTGAATCCATAATGAACTTGCCCAGGGCTGAAACCCACTGGCAAGACAACTTGTGATGCCTCCACTTTCTCTGGCTACACAAATTTACCCTGTGAATAATCTTCCCGTTTTAATGTCACCTAATTGTAGCATTTATTGACCTTTCCCATGCAAACTGAAGATTCTACCTGCTTACCTACAATAGCTCACACAATTTATGTGGCTTGACTCCATGCCATAAACCAGTATGACTAATAGATATCCTAGGGCCACAGAATGAACTCCTTTTCCCAGAACGGTTTGTGCTTCAGTGCCACCGACCCTCTGTTGCCTTACATGCTCTCCTGTCTCAGTTTGCAGTTACTCTTGTTTCCTACCAACCCATGCTTGCTCCACATGATCCTACAACATTAACACTTCAACCAGTCCAACTGGTATCAAACTAAAAACATTAAAGACAGTATCTAAACCTATTACAGCATTTTCAAAAGCATCTTATCATTTCTCCTTTCTTCTTTGTAAGCCTTGTGCTACAAGAAAAGATTTAGTGAAAAACAGTTTCATGACTTTTGCTTCTAGCAAGTACTACTATAAACTGGGAATAGAGGAGTGAATTTACTATTGCTCAGTTAATGAAACAGTTCTAATGAATGGCCAAGAGAACACATACAGCACCTCTAAACAGTGTGCTAATAAACTCTTCTGTCAATGACATCAGACTACATTTAATCTATTACCTCACAAAGGTCATTCTCAAACTCCACACTGAATAAGTAAGACAGTTCTACTGTTGCCACCACACCATCCTGCTTTTCTGATTCTGGGCTAGAAGTGACCTACTTCTAGCCCAGAAAAATTCAGAGTGTTTCAAAATGTGCGAGGTTCATTATCAAGAGGAACCACTGCATTTGTGTACACACACACACACCACATGTATGCTTAGATGAACCTACCAGCTACTCGTTATC